CTGAACCTACAAGTTCAAGGGTCAACACGAGGTCGTATTGTCATAAAACTTTAACAGGCTTGACACAGTCGCCCCTCTTGTGTCTGAAACCCACAAAAGTGAGATCAGCCAACAGGGAAACTAGTTCCATAGTCAAAGAGTTTTTCGTCCTTTATACGTAAAGAAACACAAAATGAAGAGTGTGGCAACCACACACAAATCAGAATATCCAATAAAAACTGGAAACACGGAGGCCATCTTGTGAACCCTCCACTCTTATCATTCTTTCACCTGCTCATAGTGTCGTCATCTTCCGAGTCACAGAAGCTGGTGGTGTCCAGCTCACTGCTCATCACTGTGCTGGAGCTCTCGTATCCTGCCAAGTGGCGCTCCAGGCGGCTCTGACCGTTCATACGAGGTCCTGGGACACCACAGGCAAAGTCCGAAAGAGGGAAAATATTTAACACGGATTTGTTCAAGTCAGTGTTCACCTAAACATTCCTCACTTCTCAACATTCCTTGATTATATCCAAGTCATTGTTTGGATGTTGGCCAAATCCCAAATCTTGATGGCACCCTGTCATAAAAGAGGTCTGTGCTCTGCTGTTCCTCACCGTGCTGCTCCATGCTCTCTCTGTGCCGAGGTCTCTCTCTCCTGAAGGAAACTACAGACTCTGTCTCAGTTTGATCGTCCAGCGTCTCCACACTGCCTGTCGCATTGGGACTGTAAAACAAAGAGAAAGAGGAGCGCATGAGGATTTCAATATGCAACTACTTTAACGTGACAACTTAAAATAATTGATGAGTGATATGATATTCACAATCACGTGCTTTATGACTTGAGAGTACTCAGAAAAAATGTAACTGAAGCAAGTACATTTGATAGAGCTGTTCAGGAAAACAATTCAGAAACTAGTAGTACCATCGGTTCATGCATGTATGAGGTTTTATTAAACCTTAAAATACATTTGTCCTCAAACAAACAGGAGGGGGAAGAAGGGATAACTGTATCTGAGGAAGAATGAGCAATACATTAGTGTACTACCGCACAGCAGTGGAAATTCCATTATGACAGTAATGGAGGAGGAGCTATAACCGAGGATACATGAGAGCATCCTTCATCGAAGTCTGTTGGATTCACACGCCTTTATTGGAAATCAGGCTGTGACTGGACGCTTCCATGAAAGATTGGAGGAAAGGACGCATCATGTCGGTTCCTCTCTCCTTGTATCTTTTCTTTGCGTCTTAACGTGGGTGGGACTAAGATGCAAGGAAAAGATGCAAGTGTGGGAAACGTGGTGTCGGTGTGGCGTTACTAGCCCTTGGCTCTAGACATTATTTTAACCCTTCATCAGAAGTCCAAGCAACAGACCCCATTTCCAAATCTTGCTGTAGTGAAATAACAGATAAAAAGGTCAATGCTGAATGTAAGGACTTTCCCTCAGCAAAACATTTCAACCAGTCATGTGTCGTGTTGAGCTTTGTTGAAGGGGGCATTCAGCCCCACGAAGAAGCAGGGCCAACTGAGCCCGAGTCAGTACTACTACTGCTGTACAATATGGAGATTTCTGGTAAAGCTCTCAGATCTAAAATGTTCTCTTTAAAGGAACTTTGTTTATCAGTACTTATTTCACATAATAACTCTGTAAACTTGTAACAGACTAATGTCAGCATTTGAATTATTACCCCACTCTAGAGACTCGTGCCTTATACTGAATATGTGGGATGTGTTTGAGAAGCTGAAACCATTTTGTTTTACTTTTAGCAAACTTAAAGAAAAACAAATACACTGAATAGGCTCTGTGTACTTCAGTATTCCTTTGGAGTTCAAGCATGCAGGATACTTTTTGTATAGCTTTATTGTTATAAACAGTATGATCCAATTACATTTGTCACACATCATAAGATCTGCAATGATGCAATCACATTAACATTGTCTTGTCTGAAGCCTTCATCTCGTCTCAAATCTTAAGTACAGGATCAGATGACAGAAAATTTAATTGCCTGTGAAGTACAAGTATGGTGTCATATGTCGCCTGGGAAGATCAAGCCACTTAACGGAACCAATGACCCAAAATTTGATCCCATCATATTGGACTCGGTGGCCTATTAGCCTGCATATAATGTACTGTTTTTACACTTAGATGTTTGATATGGAGCAATTTTAACATTTATTATATTGGTTTGGTGTCAGTATCATATCACTTAGACATCACTGTGTCATCCTGCACCTTTCTGTAGTTCTGTAAGAGACAATGTCCTCATAATGTCAAATTAAGTTAACTAACGTACCAAAGTCAAATACCTTGGATGTATGAAGTCGCCCTCTGGACACCGTGAAAACTGTCGGCTCTGGCTACATCCTGACAACACAGCCTCAGCAGGGATATTAGAAACAGTCCAGTTTGTCATTTCTGTGCTGCAATTTCTTATTACCTTTTGGCCAACATGTACAAAGCTACGGATCTCTTGGTTCATGATACTATGCAACTGTGTTGATTCAGCTCCAAATACAGGATGGAGAGAAATAACTAACATGGTTAAATCTTCACCAGCTGCACATTTAGTGAAGATAAGTTTGATTTGAAAATGGATTTAAAAAAACATGGCATCACTGTCCTGAAGCCAAAGGAGACTAAGAGAACGAGGGCCAAACTTAACAAATGAAGGAGTGCTCTGCAGCCACAATGGGAGACTGCACCCACGGAAATGAACTCCATTTGATCCTTGAACTAAATTAGGGCGCCCCAGACAATACAGTTCAAGGAACAGAAGGATGGTTATAGACTGTACAGATCATTTTCTCATTATAGCAATGGTTTCCTTACAGTTTAGCCAGAAAACATGGATGCTACACACAGGAGGAGGAAGGAAAGACTTGCTTAGAGGATGTCTGTGAATAGACTGCCTTGTGTTTTCACACTCAATCACCACTTTTATATTCAGTGCATCAAATGATAACCGTAATGTAAACAGAGTTGCTCTTAGTGACAAAATTACAGCATTTATCATCCAACTTTGCAGCTACCTTCAGTTTAACAAAGAGTTTTAACCTCTTTCAGCTCCTTGTTTTGGTTTTACAGCCCGCAACTTTACTGTTTTGGTTCACTCTCACTTCTCTCATCAGTGCCATTTAATTACAAAAGCTCTGGTAAAACCACTGTACTATACCTGCCCAGCGCTTAACGGCAGACAGACAAAATTAGCTACAAGCTGGTGAACACACTGCAGCGATTAGCAGCTAAAGAGCCAGATATTTCTTTCCAAAACAGAGCTAATAAAGAGGAGTGATTACATTTATCATGTGAACAGAGACATGGCATCAAATGAATGATGGTGTTGCTTTGTGTCTCTTGGATTTGTAAAGTGCAAGTGAGGCTTGGATGTTTTGTTCTTTTTTTATATACAACCTAAAATTCAAAAAGTGGGAAAACCGAGCATGTTTAAGCAATGTGTAAATTAACATTTTAAAATCAGATCCTTGGGTCCCACTGTTTTGGAAACTTTTCCCAGAGCTGGTCATGTTTAAAACAAGGGCGGTCCCTGCTAAGATCAGGTTCAAATGAGCTGCAGTATTCCTGCTATTCTTGAAGTAAGTTGATACTGGGAGTGTATGAGATATTCAAGAAAACAGTGTCGACATTACAGCTATGGGAGAAGCACAAGTGTATGTTGAGGTTACAGAGAAATGTGCCGAGAAGGTTTTTGGTCTTGTGTCAGGTAAATGTTTCAAACGTGTGCTTTGCTTACTGGAAGGAGGGCGGCCTGGAGTCCCCAATGCCTCCTGTCCTCTCTGCAGGTGGGGGTGGCAGGGGTGGAGGAGGGGGAGAAGGCTGGGTAGTCGTTTCCACAGGGGGGACCACTGCCACTGGGGGCTCTGCTGCAGGAGTATCTGATGATACCAGCTGAAAAATGGAGGCAAAACAGAAAGAAGACGTGGGAAAAACAATAGAAACAGAATGAGGTAGGTGAGGAAAAGCAGAGGAAAGAAAGGAGCAGGAGTAGGGAGGTAAAATGGGTACGATGTCAATTACTTTGACACACAAACACTGTGCTCCTTTCAGATGGGCGTCTCGAGGGCATACTGAAACGTTATCCTACACTTAACCTGTCTCTCCTCATTATACAACAAAAGTGCCCACAACTGTGCACACACACACACACATACACACACAGTGCAACACACATAAGCAATTAAGATGAATGCCACACAGCATCCAATTACAGAGGAAAGGAATAAAATGGATCATTTGACCAAAACAGTGTGAACTTATTGGTCTGAGAATTACTCCGCTTCCACACATGTTAACCCCAAATCAGCACCGGGCACTTGGTAATGTCTGTGTATACGCTGTATGTTTTATAGCTTTTGGACATTAGATGCCTTCAGTGGGTTCAGATACACAAGCTTAGTATTCCCCATCAACATAATTCAACCAAATGGAGTCCATCAGGTTCAAAAGCCTGACGTCCACCCTCTTTACAGTCTCTCCCTGCTCGACCCTCCCCACTAATGGCTATGTGACTATCAAACACTCGTCTTCTGGGATCCATCCGTCCGTCTTGGCCTGCAGATCACATATCAGTCCCTCTGGTCGCTGAGCTTTGTTCCCTACCCTTTAACTGCCTTCCCTCATTCTTATGCACTTAACAGATGCCTCAGCTCATCTGGGCTAAGTCACCATGTTTTCTCTCTACTCAGACTTAACCTGCTGGGTTAAATACAATGAAAACTATACCTACACTGCACTGTAACTGGTAACTAACTGACTGCAGCTCGCTACCTTGAGGACTGATTAACACAACAAGAGAAACATTTGCCCTCCTCCTGATTTGAAAATCCTGGCCGTACTTTACACACATCCTTACATTACCACAGAAAACTGTGGTAATGTGCAGATTTGTACTCATCCTGTATCTCTTTTTAGTAGTTTTTTTTCTTTATTATTTGCTCTCTTTGGAGTCACTGTGTCTTTTCTACAGTAGTTTTCCGTGTCTTTTTGGTAGTTCTGTGTGTCTTTGCAGTCTGTTTGTGTCTATATTATCATTTTTTGCCTCTTTGTAATTGTTTTGTGTCTCTATGTGGCCTCTTTGCATCTAGTTGAAGTCTTTTAACTAGGGCTGCACCACAAAGTGTTTTGTGAGCGAGGAACAGGGACTGCGTAGTTTGATGAAGGGATCCCATTGCTAATGGAAATAGCAGAATCATTGTCATGTGAGACTGAGATTGCAAAGGGATCTAAATCGTGCTCACAAATTGATTTATCATGCAGCCCTACTTGTAACTGAGGTCTATGACTTTCAAAGAAGAAATATTAACAGTCACTTCATACAGAGGCTCTGGCCCAGGCCTCCCGGGCCTGTGCCCAGTATAGCAATCCATCCATGTGCAAATGTAATGACTAAAATGTGAACTTGAATGACTCCATTATAGTGCTACACATTAGACAAGAGCGTTAGTCTGAGGGAGGTCTGGGAGAAAGCACAAGGAAAGGAAAAGTTGCCTCTGGCTGATAATGTTGGCTGACTTACAGACAAATGCCAACTTATTCAGACTGCTGTGGATGTAGAACAATGGTCACCGACAAAATCTGAACAGCCCTGACCTTTATTAGAAACATGCAGCAGGTTTATAATTTCTTACCCATGACACCACTCTGCCGTTGAAACATGGCAATTTGGCGCTGTCGTCGGAAATCTCTTCTTTCACCACTCTGAAAAACAGAGAGAGTAAGGTATAAATTGTCCTGCCTTCATAACATTATGGCACGGTATGCGGTATCTGGATGGCAGCGAGCGGAGGAATGAGGAAACATGAAACGGCAAATAGTTTACATTACTGACACTTTACATAAAATGCATGACAACAATGTGGCTGAACTAAATCAAATGCCAGGCATGTTTATCACCAGGATGGGTTTGACAAGCTGTTATTCTTCAGTTCCTTTTCCATGTGGTACCAGCTGTTTTATGGTTCAGTCAGTGGCTCACTCTACTCAACACGACTGACTGCAAAGGCTCTGGTCGAGCAGCTAATTTTACAACACATCAACTGTAAATTCCTTTCCAATTTAAAATTCAGCTTGTACGACTCCTGAATGTGACCAGAAGGTAACGTGCAACCCATTTCATTTTAAGCTTTTGTATGATTGGGAGAGAACGAGTGTGATTTTATATCACAATACAACATATTTATATATATATATAGTAGTGTCACCCTCCATGGTGCTGGTGTTTAAATATATTTATACCCACTTTCTCATATTACATTCTATCTTTTTTGTATTTAGTTAAGAAAACTGATCTTTCTAGCTCAACAGTATTTTATCCTTCATGACTTTAGCTTCAATTTTCATGTGACTGACCATTAAAAGCAACTATTCCCTAAATCTGCATCTTTTCCTTGATAAAAACAAAATCTGCCTGTAATCCAAGTACAGTTATATCACTGGGATTACTACAAAAGAAACTAATTTGCTTCTTCCAGCAAGTTAGAGATGTTTCGGAAAATTATTCTGTCAAAGCGATGAGATAAAACACAAACTGTTCTGTGCCTCCTTGTAAATTTCACAACCTGGACAGCTACACGAGCAAATCAAACACACACACAACAGCAGTAATCTCTTAGTAACAGCTGCTGCCAGAGCCCAGTGTTCACTTGACAACACATCCATCTAGCTATTCCTCCCTCTTCCGTAGTTTTCCTCCATGTTTGTCAGACATTCAGATGGCTGCTCCAGCGGTGTAACTCCCCCACAGTGAATTGCCACTGTGTTATTACTACAGTTTACTGGGACAGGAGCAGGGCACAAGTGCTTTCAGCTTCATCTGCCAATGTGCCTCCACCACTGCGTGTGAGGTCAGGCTCCGCTGAGCTCTGTAAGTGGCTGCTGAGAGCTGGTTTGTCAGGTAACAACAAAGCAAAGCTAGCATCAGCTGACTAAGAAGTAAATGTGTCAGTCCAGTAGAACGCTCTGGTTATTGCTAATGTGACAGAAAACCATATCTGAATCAAAACTGAGTCTTTTAACTCCATCTCAAAAAGCCAAAACGAGGTTAACCTTAGTTTTTGCTCTTTTTTTGTCCCACTTTCTCTGTGGAAAAGAACACAACCTCCTCCTTCTGGCAGCTGCTGTTTCAGACCTTTGGCTGCTGAGAGCTCCTCCATGGCTGGATGTTTGAAATAGGGGGTACAAACCTCACTGACAACACAGGGTAGACAAGTTGGAATAACAACAGAAGGGCTGTAAGCAGCAGTGTCATGGAAGTGGGTAGCATCGCTGAGAGGCACAATGTCATGTCCCATTTTCACCTGATGTATCAAACATCCTGCAGAATTTTAACTCCTCCCTTTCTCATGCTGCAAGAAACAGCATCTATACAGCAGATGAACAGATGCAACATTCTCCTCCTGAAATCGTAACTGCTTTCAATCCACTGTCCAGTGACCACAGTTGACTCATTTCACATAAACACAACAGAATATTCACAAAGTCTGAGCAAACCCCACCCCATTTCTATCTTCCCTTCTGTCTTGGTGTGGACACCCCAGACACCCAGCAAATGGCCTCCATCCAGCCCCAGGATCCCAGCACAGGCCCTGGCATGCTGTGCTCCATGGATCTCCCCCACTGCCACACACACACACAGACACACAGCTCTGGTGGACAGCTGGCCTCGTACCAGGGCAAATGAAAACACTCTATTACACACTCCTCCCCTGGGTCAGAGAGGGGGGAAAACATCCCTGCTTTGATTGGACAGCTGACTCAGAGATATGTTTGAAATGTTTTATCTGAACTTAGATGGAGGTATTCAAATGAGTGTGTGATGCCAGGCTATGCAATTTAAACTGAAGAAGTGGAAATTTTTCTGCCATACTCTCTGAAATACCTTGCTCTGTGTAGACAGTTTGGCATGGTTGGATCTTGAAATGAGGACTTTCCACCTTTGGAAAAACACTGTGTGCTCGCTTGCAAACACACAAGCTATAAACACAATCATGTCCTGTCCAGTCACAAGCCCCTAAACTTGACAGCTAACTTTGAAATTACAGTTGTGACTGTGGTAACACTAGCCAAGATCATTAAGTAATGAAGACAATTAGAATGTAAATTTAAATCAAATACCAACTGCAGATAACAACTTTACACAGTTAATAGGCCTACACACGGTCATGCAGTTGGGGTTTAATTTTTTAAGTGGTTGCACCCCCTGCCCCCAACATTTTATAGAGCAAATAATTAATAGAGAAACTTCTTAGAAGCTTGTACCATCATGACATGCAGCCCTAAATGTCTGTGCAGACAAACCAACCTCCAGACAAAAGGTTCCTAGAGATCTGCTTACTACCCTGCCAAAGTATCTTTTATATGGATATGAATGATAAATTTAGGCAGTTGAACTTTTACTTGACAAATAAGTGATAAAACTGGCAATTAACACATTTAATCATTTCAACAACCCAAAACCCAAACATTAAGTATTTTTAAAGCCACTTACCACACATTTTCTCTAATCAAATTCTCTACAAGCCCATTACTGATGCTGCTGCTGCTGTTAATGTTCAAATTATCCGCATCTGAGAAGCAGCTTTATCTTGGCTGCTCAGTCGAGGCCTCAAGAAAAGCCCCCTCACCCATTTCATCTTGATCTTGGAGCTGATACTGTAACTTAGCACAAGCTCCAGTGGTGCCATCCAAAGAAGAAAAGAGGCAAAGAGCCGAGCCTTAACACTCATCCAAGACTATGTTGCATTTAGCAGAAGCCCCGAGGGTCTCACTGCTGAATAAACTCCAATCACTCATTGCTCTGCAGGAAAACGCACAAGAGCTACACAGAAGAAAAAAAAGATGAATTGATAGAAGAGAGGCGACAGCTCAAGTAGACTGGGAGAAAGGGGAGAGGAAGGGAGGAAGCCAGGGAATGAAAGGATGGCTGGCAGGCCAAAGTGTTAAAGAGGGGAGACAAAACCCTGGCTCATGTCCCGAAAGAAAAAAAGGCAAGGATTTCACAAGATGATGGACTGGAGGAGGGAGGGAGGGCTGAGGATTAGGGTAAAGAAAAGCAGCAGAGACTGGGAATGCCTCCCATTGTAATGATGATGTTTAGTGAGGACTGCCCCAGCCTACATACTCTTTCTATCTATAACACCACTTAGATATTCATCACCAATCATTATAACTTTTTGCAGTTTCTGATAAAGGATGTGCCGACCTGACTGGCTGCTTTCATTCAAGTTTATTCTGCCTCTACCATAAGTTTTCCCCTCTTACAAATACACAACAGCCGGTCGCAAGATAGGACTGCATGACTTATAAGACCTTTTACAAATAAAGCTAAGATAACGCACTTCCATTCAGAAAGTAATTCCACATTAAAGGCTCGTTTTCCAACATTTATCTTGCATGAGATTTTTACCGAACATCTGGTAATGACTGAACTTTTATCACTACTCATTTTACATACAAACCAACAACTCGTCTTTGCAAAAGGAGAAAAAAATCCCTGCAGCTCACCCGAAGTCCTGGTCCATAGACTTGAAGAAGAATTTGTAGTTAGGCTTGTTCAAGACCTGTTTAAAATCCAGCAAAGTGATGTTTTCGGCAGCAATAGGAATCTTCACCAAGTACGGAGTCTCCTCTTCGTCGATATGATAAATTATTTTGGTTTCCGCCATCTCTGCGGTCGCTTTTCCAACCCAAGCTGGAAGTTACCGCAAGAAACACACACTATGAGGCGAGGTAGCGTTAACTTTGTTGGTTAGTTATGTAGCAGCGGAGCTAGCTAGGTGGCTAACGAGAGGTGAAACGATGGTGGCCACTGAGATTTCCAGTCCGAGCCAGAGGACGCAAAGCGTTAAAACCCCGCTCGAAAGCTTGCACTCCGACTTCACAAGAGCAAAAACTCGCATTCCCCCTGTTGCTAAGGGGCGAAAAGACAACCGACATTCAGTCGACTTAACTAGCAACAACTTTTTTTTTTTTCTCCCCCCCAACAAAAACATACAGGGGAGGGGGGTGTAAAAACTTTTCACCACTTTCTGCGAGCCAACGCGGCGTATGACGTCACTACGTACCCCCTTCTTTTACGTGCTCTCCCAGCCATGTCCCCAACATTTAATTAATGATCAGAGATTATCTTCTTCTTCTTTGGTATCAGAGACTATAAAATTGTCTTGTAAAATTCTCATATACATTTAATCAGTACCTCCATTGTTAGTAATCGTGTCACTCAATCAGATTTACTGCGTTTTCCAAAATAAACCAACAGAGGCTACTTGAACTCATGCATTGGGTTAAATATACAGTAAAGACGTACAGCCTAATAAAGATAAAAGTACACACATCCACAAAAAGAAGCACATCTTCATTTTGCATTATTACACTATTAAATGTCATGATTAAAGGTAATTAATTAGTTAATTCATTGTATTCTCTAAGCCAGAGTCATTATCGCCACCTGCCAAAATGTTATCTACAGAAAACGTCTTTGTCTGCTAGAATCTCTGGAAGTAATTGAATTTCTTATCCTGTAGACAGTTTCTAAAATAGGGAAATTAATTTCCTTATCCTAGACATGGTATGTGATCCTAGATATGGTATGTGCTTCAGAACAAGGGTGCACACATTCTTTCATTAAAAAAGAAATTTTGTATGAATCTGCGTTTAACAAACATCGTTGAAACTTTGGTTAGCCAAAATATTTTTTGTTGCATTTTACACCGCAAAGGGGGAAATGTGAGAATTTAATCCATAAAAGATGAAAAAAGTACACTTATTATTTATCTGTCACAATCTTCTGTGATTTTCTGAATATACACATCTTACACTGTGTAAATGTGTTGTATAAGCCAGCTTTATTAATTTTATTCATTAGCTGTATAACATTATCAAGCAACATGGATATGTATGAAAAGTACTAAGTGTTAAGTTACATATGTTTTTTTTAAATAACATATATTACAGGGGTGAGTTCAGTCCATCCAAATAAACCACTAGAGGGAACTCTTTATCCATCTACTCTTAATGACAAGAATAAATACAGTGAGTAACTGTTGGTAAAAATGGTGTGAGTGTGTGTTTGTGTGTATGACTGAATGGGTTGTAGGACTAATATAGGGTGCTGTCCTTCCAACATAGTGCCACAGATGGCTGCCTCGGTTGAACACGCTCTCTAATGGAGATCCTATGCACCGGAGACAAATTGCTTGTGTGTGTTAAACATACTTGGTCAATAAAAGTGATTATAATTAATTTTTAATTAAAACAAATAATTATTCTAGTAACCAAGGGGGTCTAGGGGTGCTGGTCTATTAACCACAATGTGAATAACAGCCACAGTGATCAAAACATATTCATTATTTCAGAACATTATATTTGAAAATTGTTTAGTTTTATATTCTCTAAAACTTCATGTGCGAGCCCACATTTTACAGCACTTTCCAGTGTATATTACAATTAATAACATCTGCTTTGCAAACAAGATTCATTCAGTATCCTATTAAAATTTCCTGTTCAAGAGCTGTGGTCCAAACATCACACCAACCACGCAGGTGATCACAAACAGCACCCAGAAGAGGATAGCCAGCAGCTGCACACAGAACAGTGTCTTCCTGCTCTGCTGTATGACTTCCTCTTCCCCAACCAGGCCTGGCGCTGCGCCGTACGGCCTGTCCGGGTGCATCTGCTGCACCCGCAGACTGACGGTGGGCAGGATGATGAAGCGGGTGTCCGTGCTGTCGCCCTCCAGGGAGAGCACCACTCTTTGGGTGACTGTGGCCAGGTGGGTTGCCATGGTAATAGGCAGGTGGAAGGCCATAGGGGGCAGCCTGGCCAGGATGTGGGAGTTGCAGGGTAAAGAGAAGGCATCCCCAGTTTCTAGGGGTGTGAGGTGGCGGCACAGGGGGCATGGGATGGCTGGTGGGCTGGATGAGTCAGAGGGTTCAAAGGGGAACAGCTGGATCCTCTGGAGGCACTCAGTGCAAAAAACATGGTGGCACTCCAGCATTCGTGGGCGTTTGTTGTACTGGTTGTACTCCTGGTAGCAGATGGGACACTCCACATCCATGGGCTCCCCAGGGGTGGGTGCTACAGTAGCTGGGTCCCTCTGCTGGGGAGCTGGGACAACATCCCCTGTCATGGTAAGAGGGAGGATGAGCAGATGGAGTTGGCTCCGAGGCTCAGGTATAAAAATGGGGATGAAATTTCAACAGACAACAGTAAAATCTGTAAAGAGAAAGCAATTTCCTGTCAGACTATTAAAAAAAAAAGAAGCTTATGTGGTATTTAAAGATTAGGGCCTGGTTCACAGGGATGCTGCTTTGTTTATTCTACATTTTATGAACAGATCCAGCAGCTTCACAGCCCATGAGTCATGGGCTGTGACATTCATTTAACTGCTCAAACATTGACTAACTGTCTAAACATCAACCCCCCAACTCACAATCATCTGGGCTCCAAGTTATGCATGCTGGCCTGCACGACACACTCAGAGCATGTCCGGGAAGTTAGGAAATAAATAGAGGAAAGAAGTGACAGGAGGTATTAAGTTACTGTAATGACATTTTCTACATGTGCATGTGTGTCTTTTTTCACCAGTTCACACTAAGGAACATTTATCCTAAGCTAACCTATTTCTTTACATGTCCTACAGTACATATGAATGTTAACCTACGCATTACATTTACTTCGCTTTACAGACACCTTTTTGTGTCCCTGTTTGTTATTCACGAAGGACAAGTATGTGGCACTCATCGGGGTATTGTTGCTTAGCAGATGGGGTCTCCTTTGAATTAATCCATGGCAACACAGCCAGAAACCTTTTCTTTCATAAGTAAACTACATGCACTCAGAGTAAAAACAATAAGACATTTGATACAGTAAAAGAAAAATCATCTCATGACACATACTGACTGGTTGCTCTGTATAAATAAATATCTCTTGTGTCTAGGTAAGACACCAGTTTGAGTGAGATTATCCAGAGAGAAACTGGCACTGATCCATCATTAAACAGTAGAATCAGATAAGAGAGCGACTTACCCACATCACACTCCTCTGTAATCAAATCGCACTTTGATGTCCACCTCCTACCACAGTGCTCCCCCTCACACAGTTCATACCTGAACTCATGTTGGTACAGATCTTATCCTGGTTGACGTGCTTCCTTTCGCTTCTCTGTGCACATCAACCTCAGATTTCCTGATATTCTGAAGCTACGTGTCTGAGCTTGGCTCACTGGCAACCTCCTGTTTTTGCTTCATCTCACCTGATTTTACTCATCCTCGTCGCTCCGTCTGGTCCCCCTGTGGTTTGCTGAGCAGTAATTAAACCCCTGGTGAAGTGATGCTAACCAAGACACACAAGACAGAAAATGACAGATTGGAGTCTGTAGATCCCGACAGCTCTTACTCTACTTGCATATTATGTTATTATGTTTCCTAGAAGTCAGCATGAAGGAGTTTTCAAAGCATGGACTAGGGTATAATTATTGACATCTTTGCCATTTTTATATTTAAATTGAGGTTGTGTTGATACAGTCTAAAAAAGAAATGTTTAGACTCAAAAATAAAAATTAACGCAACATTTTGCATTAGTCTTTTTGAGTTATGACAACTTCATTTGAAATTACATTGAACCAACCAACTACATTGCGTTGGGGGAATTAGCTTTTCCTCTTCAGTCAAAGATTATTTTAATTAGCCCTTACTTATTAACTCTTAGACCAAAGGCAAGTTTTTAAGTTGATAACTCATAAAATTTATGTTGCTCCAACTGGCTTAACCATATTATTTTAAAGCAATTTTATATGTTGTCTAGTTAATAATTATAATAATGTATACAAAATTTTAAATAGCAACCATTTTAAAAATTAAGTGGCTCCAAATACATTTTTTTTCAGGTTTCTTTTTCTTTTGTAGGGTTTTTTGTTTTTGTTAATGTTAGTTCAACCGTTTTTGTGCAATTAACTTTTTTTAAATTTTCAACTGCATCTGAGTATTTGAACAAATTATATTTAAATCTTGCAGAAACAAAATGCAAATTAAAAAACAAACTCACATTTCAACTGCTCCTCAAATTATAAATAAAGAACCTGGCCATACTCCCTTGAGAAATTAAGTATTAGGTATAATAAATTATGCCATCACAGCAAAGTTAGGCAAATCTCCATAGATATTAAAGGCTTCATTCCATTATAAAGCCTCGTCCGGTTCTTTCAAACCAGGAACTCCGAGGGACGACTCAGACCACTTGAGTATATAAAAAATATAACCGTGCTGGTTTATTCAAAGAGTCACAGGCAAGAATTCACACTTCCAGTCCAGAGATCTTCCAACCCCCAGCCTGCCAAAGCAGCCCGGAAAACAGAAAAGACCCCGAACCAAGCATTGCTATACAATATAAATCCTTTCTGGGCTGTCGAACCGTAACGTCACCTGATATGCCAGCTTGGCAGCTGAGCAGAGCAGTAGACCAAACATGAAGAAAATAATGTGTGTGGCTGTTGTTTTCGTGGTGTGTATCTAAAACAATTTGACATAACCTTACACATTAAGACAAATATTAAGCCTAGCATTACAGTTGACACTAACAGCTCTTTTCCTGTAACCTTGACGTGCCTGCAGTCTGCACTGCAGGCTGAACAGTTACCAGCCTGAGCTAGTCAACCTGTCTGCACTAAACATTCCTAGACAACAAATCTCTGAATATCTATCTAACTAAAAAATAACCTAACAATATAACAGTTAAAAGCGAAGTAGTATGTCATGGAACTTTCCAAGAGACTAAGCTGTATATGAGTAAGATCCACATCAGTCATTTCCGAAACACAAAAAATACATTCTCTTTGGGCTAAAACATGCATTTCTTTAAACATTTTTGTTTTGTCAACTTTCAAGACAAGACTTGTTGAACATAAAGCATAACAAAACTAACCTGAGAGAGAAACATTCTCAATTTCTTTTCATCTTCTGTTGACTTCCAAATATAAAACAATGTCAAAAAGCGGCAGTGTTCAGAAACGGGTGGAATCTTTAGAAAATATTGTTCTTGAGACTCATTACTTTTGCACTGGCTTTCAGTCCATCAAGGTCAAGGAACAACTGTGTGATACTGTCAGAATCACATTACCAATGTTTTACACACCCTTTAATGTGGTGAAAAATACTGACTTTAAATTGTATTACAATAGTAACTAAAACACAGGCAAACAAAAATAAAACACTCTGCTTCTACTTCTTTGATTCCTCTCACAGAAATATCAAACTACAATTTGCCTACAGTGGAAGTACACAGCCATCTATGTGAACGAACAATTTTAAAAATTGTGGCTGTGACTGAAATTAGATAACATTATGTAGCTTAAGGTCAAATAAGCAAAGCTTGAATAATGCTTTTCCCATCTGCTCTCTTGCTGAGCAGATATCTCAATGAAACAAGTGCAAATTCATTACTTTAGTAGAACTATTAGATGTAAATTAAATGTTACTCATCATGAAATATTGTTTTTATCCAGGTTGGTTAGCCTACAAGTCTGCTAACACACAATCTTACCACTGGAACATGCCCAGGCATGTTATGTGGGTAGGAGAAGGAACTTGTAACCCTGAAGTCAATGTGGAGAAAAATTAAGTTAT